TTTTCCAGCAAAATTTCAGAGAATAGAGTGCAAAGATCACTCAGACCACACAAAGCTTCTCGGTCAATTTTATCCCTCAATATTATATTCCCAGAATGAGGATCCAGCTGGAAATTCTGCCTGGAACTCTTAGAAATGAACTGTGCTCTGCGAGCAAAGAGCTCCTTCACATCGACTTTTAAATCTTTTAGAATATTTGCTACTATTGATCCAGCTTTCTTCCCCTCAGGCACTGAATAGCGGAATGGGTCACACAATATACCAGAGCTACATAGAGAAAGAAAGAACAAGACCACTTGCCTGCTAGGACGAGATGCTTCCATTTTCTCAGCCTCTTTCAGGAAAGGTCATACATTCAGTAAGATTCTTTGTAAAGCAACTCCTATAATTTCCTTTATAGTTGTGACCAGAATCCAATGGGAGTTATTTTTTGGTATTCATGCTCTGATATTTTCTTCGGAAATTTCTCAAGATTTAATTGAAAGATGTTGCCTTTTGTTCTGAGATTCCTTTGTCTAATGACTAGATCATTCTGAAGTAAACGAATCTCTCTTTTTACTGTTTGGTGCAATAGCACCACCTTGTGTGTAAAGTAAAATGTAGCACTAGTTTATGAAACTTGTGAATAGGGCATTTATTCTAGTGTGTGCATCTTTTCAAAAGACTAAAGTGTTCCTTCTGTGTACATTCTTGGTGTTATCTGTCATAGCAAGACAATATGTTAAGAGCTTTCAATCCAGAGAAAAAGGATGCCTCCCAAAATGTAAGCGCTATAACTTTTGGTATGATTGTGACATGAATGTGTGTATAATAATGTGTATAAAGTAAGTACAAGGATCCAGAGGAATGCCACTTGTGTGTTATATTTTTAGTTGCACCTTTTCATATCATGAATTTATAATGGCCATGTAAGTTTTACTTGGAAACATGATTTTCCCTTCCACTCCTATCTACACATTTCATATTTCCTTTCAGAAGGAAATTACGCAGCCAGGAATCTAAATTAAAAATTCTCCAGTTGCAGAAGTTGTCACTGCATTTTGTTTGTTTCTTTTTTCTTATCACTTTAAGAGATTTTTACCTCTCTTGTCTGTCTAATGTTTTGTTTTGGATTTTTTTCATATTTTTGTAACAAATGAT